TTTTTTTTTTTTTTTTTTTCATTTACCGAAATTACAGTTTTGGTTGGTCTCCGTCTGTATGGCAGTTGTCAGATGGAAGTATAAAAGCCGTCGGTTAAGTTTTGTCTTTATATCAGCTCAACCTTCATAGCAGAGGTGATGGGAGCCGTTCCTTGAAAAATTAAAGTAATGAACATTCAGTGATTGATAATGGGATGAAAGAGTTTTTCTGATTCTTTTGTTTATTTTTGGAAAATAAATGTGATCTACAGGGTATATAGGCCGTAGAAACTGTTATTTGACCACCTATGAGACATTTTTTGTTTCGCAGCATTCTCTTGTAACTCCAGTGATTTATCAAAAAATTGAATTATAGATTTTTGACATATCTGTTTCTAAGTAAAACAGTTATGGATGAAGTTATAAGTCAATTATGCGTATCGCATTCCAGATGTCTTTCCTTTTGCTTCTGCATGTGTTTTTGTTGTAGGTTTTTTCTTCATTTAAATTAAATTATAAAGTCAAGAAGGAGAAAGGAAAAACTGATAGAAATTTTGATTTATTGGTCATCTCAACAAGATTTTATTTCTTAATCGTTTCTGTTGTTATTCGTAACATTTAATTCTTCTTACAACATTTTTATACATGAGTGCTGGAGGACTTTCGATTTGAAAATTGTTTAATTAATTCCATCTTTTTCGGGTTACCGAAGGTATCATTTTTGTTTAATATTTTTTCAGATTGGTAATGAGGTTTTTGACAGGTTTTTGTACTTAGACTTTGCCTTTTGGTCAAATGATTTCCTTTTTTCAGTCATTTTGTGAAAATGGATTATTGCGTTAAAGGGAAGTGAAAGTAGTTAAGGAGGAAGAAGTGGTTACTCTAGTATTTTGAAGGGAGCAGTTCATTTTGGTTCTGGGATCGAAGGCATTAGAAAATAAAATATTTTCTTTACCGGGCTTTATTTATTTTCGTTTGTTATTACAATTCAAAGAATTATTCTCAACAGCTTTGCCGCAATGTTTAACGTATTGTCTAATGATGAGACAGGTTGTGCTGAAATTAATTTAGGATTTTGGGAGGCTTATCTCAGCCATTTTGTTACAGACATTCTCTGCTCTTCTAGAACATTTGTGGCCTTCACGCTGTTCACAGCGATGATTAAGACACTGGCGCTATTTTACCGTTATTTTCTGAATTTTCCGCTTTCTTAAGTTTTGTGAATGTCCACTTCATGATTAGCTTTTTATCGTTCTCAAAATTTTTTGTGGCTCTTTGATTCAGATTTTGTTACAGTTTATTAAGCGTAACAATATAGGATCAGAAAAAATTCGTTTTTTGGTATTACTTATTTATATGTTGTGTTTCTTCTTGAGAAGTTGAGCTTTTTTGCGTGAAACTTATGCATACAGATGATTCTTTCAAATCATTTTTTATTTATTTCTTTGAACAAATTTTAGTAGCACTCATTTATTTTATTAAAACGAAAAAAAAAAAAGACTATTGGGTTGAATATGCAGTAGGTCTTTGACGCAGTGAGGAGTTATGTATTCGTATACTGTTGTTTCCTTTTCTGATTATAACTGTTCTACCATCTAGGGTTGCATTTAACATAATAACTGCAGAATTGAAAAGGAACAAGACTTATAGCGAGTTCGCAAGACGCTTTATTACTCTCATTTTGTTGTTATTTCTTTCGCAAGATCTGCATTTGATTTGTTTTACTGCAGTTTATAAACAAACTGTTTTGATCCTGGGACTAGTGAACCTGCGATCTGTCGCGAGCAAAGCGTTTGTTTGACTGCAAATTGAACTTATGGTGGGAAAGATCTGGGATTTACTGAACTTCGACTGGGTGTTGGAAGTGTTACAATATTGCATAACACTCATCAATGCTGTACATCATTTTACAACCTTCGCTTACTATTCCTCTTTTTTTTTTTTTTCAAGTTTTGAATATGATTTACACAATAAGATATATTTTGATGCATTATGGTTACAGTGAGGCAGTAGTGGCTATGGCAACTGCGGATGTGATGGTGTATGATGATGCCACCAAAAGGTGGGTGGCTCCGGACGGAGGCATTGAGCCGGCTAGGTCGCAAGTTAGAATACTTCGCAACACCCATACAAACGCGTTCCGTATTGTTGGTACCAGACTACAGGTATGTTTCTTTGCTTCTTACTTTATGCTTTTTTCTGTTGAGAATTTTTAGAGAGGGGTTTTTTTAGATTCTTACAAATTACACTCTCTTTTTTTTGTTAAATCTCTGTTTTT